CGTTCATCCCTCCCTCACAGCGAGTGGTTATATATATAATATTATTGGAATAAAATCGGAGCTCCAATGTATTCAAATAATATTAATAATACTCAACTTTTAAGTTATGTCAGCTTATTCTATGGCTGTAAAATTCAATATAAATTCAGGCTTTAGTGTAAAATAAGGAGATATTATAAATGTAATTTTTTGTTCAAGTGTACCCCTATATACATATATATAGAAATATATATACATAGTGTGGCATGTGGCAGTTACTGGCAATGTTCTTTGGCGGCAATTTGCGGGAAATGCTCTCGGCTTGCTTGCGGCTGGCCAAGACAGCGGCTTAAACGATTGCGGCCAAGTTGAGTTGAGGCGGAGGATGATGTCGCTTGAGACCGAAAAACCGGGTGATAAATGCGCATCCCATCGGACACAAACGGAAATAGAGAGCGATTTCCGACCAGATCCCAAGGGGTCTCAAATTTAATTCAGAACAAGCCGCAAGTGTGTAGAGTTCGACTCGGGAGCTTAAGGTGGATCTGGGATATTTGGGAGTGGAAGTACTTAAGAAATAGTTGAATAATACATTTTGTACATATAATAATAGAATAATAAACCCTTTTATGTTTGCAAGACAGCATCTTTGGAGCAAGTTACTTATGTGACACTTTTAATTTGCTAAATATTTACAAATAACTACAAATAATTATTTCCAACCTTGCGTATGAGTAATATTTGTTTTGATCACAGTGCGGATGTGTAATGTGTTTATTTTGCAATTATTACCATTAGAATATAGAAGACGAAGAGCAGGCTAAATATTTAGGAATGTAAGCACTTTAAAATCTTGACTTGATGTCCGCCAAAAGCAATATATCTCAAAAATTGTCGCATTTATTTTTGATACATCCACAATAAACGCAATAAGTACTCGCTGACCATCATTTTCTTTGACACATTTTCAATTATTCAGCTCCGCAGCACAATTTTTGCCATAAATATATAGAAATGTCAAATGCATGACAACTGGACAAAGCAAAACCAAACCAAAGGCAGTCGCCTGACATTGTCATCGGATGATTCTTTTGATCTTAATTCAATTACATGCACTTTTCGTTATTCGTTAATGCAATTTACTTATATGCACGTATGTATATGGGAAAATTTACAAAAGCCGAGAACGGACAGAAGAATGTAGCTCTTTGATTTCATATTTCTGCTAACCCATTTATACCATTAAAATGCTTTGCAAAGACTATTATTGCGTGTGGAATTTAATTTGGAAATCAATAACGGAACAAGCACAGGCTGGCATGAGGGGAAAACCAGGACAGGATGGCGGTCCTGCCACAGCCATGATGACAATGGTCGCCGCAGAGATTTTGCAGTTGCATGGCTGACGTTTGCCCGCCGCCTGAGCGCGCGGAAATGGCGTCGTTAAATTGGTTCCGTATCCGGTTGCCATTGCCATTGCCATTGCCATTGCCATCGCCATAGCTGTGGTGGCCATTGGTGTCGCCGAGGCAAGCGAGAGGCAACAAGGACAATAAGGACAACAGTGCTGCAGGACAGCTGAAGTTTACTGCCATTTGACTGCAGCTCGATGACGCGACGCAGCCCCCGAGGCAGCCGTCAAGGAATCCACTTTGCACTTACATTTCCTCTGCGGACGCCGCTCTCCGACTGGGTCTCCCCATGGAGCATAGCGTGCTCGAAAGCTGTGGGATTAGGATAATTGTCACCTCCTCTCCTCCCTCATCCCTTACCCTCATCCGATTGCCGATTGCCGATAGCAGTTGAGCAGTGATTAACGGAAGCTGCAATCGATATCGATTGATTACTCTCTCTATCCAATTTTGCATTGCATACTATTCATTTTAACATAGTTATTCGATTCTGTCTGCTGACTATAGAAATAGTTTATGTCACGTAAGGGTCACGTAGGATAAGATCGATACTGTATTGATATTTGATACTGTCTAGATCAACTCTGCTGCTAATGCTTCTACTATTTATTTTTGGTAATGAGTGGGAATGTCTGCCTGACTTTCCTTTGCAAAATTGATTAAGTTCGATGTCTGAACCAAGTTCATGTGGCACCTGCATAATTAATGGCACAGGTGGTTGCGGATGCTGCTGCAGGCACGTGTAGTCGAAGTCGTTATATGTATGTACATACATATGTGGCTGTGGCGGTTGAATTCAATTAACTCCGACGTAAAAGCCTTTTGAGGCGTCAATGAGCAACCGCAATTGATATAAATTTGAAATTTTGCATCAGCCGTTTTTCCCTTTTACGGTCTCCCCTCCCCTCTCCTCTGCTCTGCCCTTTTTGCCTCAATAAAAATTTAATTTCCAGCCTAATGGCTGGAGTGTGTGTTTCGGAGAAGGATCCTCTTCGGCGCCGGCTGCACTTAATTTGCTCCTCGAGTTGGCCGTAAAAGGCCAAAAGGCCATTGACTGAAATGAAATAAAAGCGCTTGCAGTGTGTGTAATAAATTCAGCGAGTGCCATGTTCCCCCGGAAAGCCCTTAGCGCACATCCCACCCACCCTTTGCCTCCCAGTGCATTATCAACTTAAAGGACATTAGAACAGGTTTCAGATTTTCCTACAATTTAAAGAGGGAAATTAATGTACTTATGGTCGGAAAATCTCTGCTGTTAAATTTGTGAAACATTCTCGGTGTTTTCTTGAATGTTAGAAAAGTTTCCCAACCGCCGGGGCCACGCCCCCTGCTGTTCAGCTATTTTCAGTTCGGTTCCCACAACTCGGACTGCCCTTTGCATGCGGCACGCGAAAAGCAACAAAAAGCAAAAAAAAACGAACCAAAACGGACAAAAATATATACGCAAAAACTCGGAGAAGGATCTCCAGCCAAAAACCAGTGACCAGAGCACCCCACCCAGGACCAAAACCAAAGCGCCGGAATGCTCAAGTTGTGCACACACACATCTACGCCCACACACACACACACACACCCACCCATGCGATGTCCTCCGTCGGAGCGAATTACGGACATTGGGCTACCATTTTGGCCAACAATCCACTTACGTTGAAACGAAACCAGGCTCCTGGCCAGCGAGAGAACCAAGGGGTATGCAGGGCAGGATGACTTCAGAAAGTTATTAAATATTTTAATAACACTTAAAAACAAGAAAGAATGCTAGCTTCGAGAAGCCGAAGTGTGTATACCCTTGCAGTTATCAATAGGATCATGGGTTCGAATATGGAAACTATCATAACTATGAGAAAAGTGCATTAATTTCGATTCGAAAAGCTGTTCTATTCTAGTTTTTAATAGGTTAATAAATCTGCATACTTTTTTACACCTATAAACTATTCAAATTTTTGTCGATTTTTCAATATATAACAATGAAAAAACGTCTAAAAAATTATGAACAATAATTTTCCAAAATGTTGTTCCCTACTTTATGGCTAGAAAGATTCGCCTGTTGATGCTGATCAAGAATATATATGGAATATAGGGTCGCAAATGACTCCTTCACTTCGTGTTAAGCTTCAAACTGAAATTAAGTTTCAGTTTTGTAGTAATAGATACACTTAGTATAAATTGCTGTATCACTAAAGATTAAATTAAGTAATAGGAATCGTGGCAGTAGGGAGTGAATTGGAAAATAAATGCATAGTTAGATCAGTTGATTCAAGATCCCTCCTATAGCATCTTCATATAAACATAATATAATTGTTATGGTTATGACTTACCCCAGTAGATGACAATTATCGCAGTTAGCTTTTTCCTGGTTATCCAGATATTATTGGAGTCGAAGAGCAATCACTATCACTTTTACCATCGATGTAAACACTGCGGAGGCCACGGACAGAATGAGGTGAGTGAGAGGGCTGTGCGGCTATTTATAGTCTCTGGAGCAAAGAGAATAACAGAGAAAGTGAGTGCGAGAGAGTGAGAGCGCGCGAGAGAGAAAGGGGTTTCTCTAGAGAAAGGCACAGATAGAGAGAAAGAGAGGGGCACACAGAGGGGGATGTTATCCGCTGTTTCTATGTTAACTATATGATATAGTCCTTCGATCCGGCGCGTTCGGACACATGTTTACTATTGAGAGACCTGGCATGATCGACTTTGCTATTCTCGCTGATCAAGAATATATATGGTTTTAGGCTCAGCGTAACAATCTTTTTGACTTTGTGTAAAAACTCCAATTATTTAAAGTTTAGTTCTATAATTTTATCATAAGGTATATCACATTACGTTTACGCAACGTGGTGCATATTTAAAAAGTACTTTCAAAGATGAAAATTCACAAATAATGGGATATTATAAAGCTATTAAAATGGATTTACGCTTGTTTTAATTTGAAAAGAAAAAGTCATTATTAAGGGCAATATTTATAGAGTAATTAATAAACGTTAATGAATATTTGTCATACCTACCGTAACTTACATTTTTTTGTTCCATACATACAACGATTTTAAGTCTCAACTTAAATGAAACTTATATATACATAATATTGCGTATTCGACATGTTGGCCCCTGTAGTTGGAAATTCCGGATATTCCGCACCCAGACTTCGTAGTGAAGGGTATCCCCCTCACTTCGTTAGGGGCACTCATTGGACGCTGGCCTGCCCTCGTGCTTTTCAATTTACAAAATACGCCTCCAGCCGCTTTTCACGCGTCGCAAACTCGCCGCATCCACGCAAAATAAAAAAGAAGTAAAGCGAAAAGAAAAGCGAAAAAAGACAGAAAAAAACACACACATAGGGGGAGGAAAGGAATGGAAAACGGAAAATAAAAGGGAAAATCGACGGCAAAAAAGGAAAGTGGAACTGAAAACGGGGCAACTAGCCCGTGACAGGAAAGCGACAAAGCCCGCGGCTATTAAGCCAGCTTCTTTCAATGGCCTTTCTCCCATTTTCCGATGCATTTTCCAGATCCACAGCCTTTGGCGGGGCCCAAAGTAAAACGCATTGGTATTTTTTGTAATTTCTTGAAGGGGTTTTTCGGTTTTTTATTTATAATTCATTACATGGTTTATATTTATACTATTTTTGCCGCATATTTACCGCCGTCGCCGGAGGGGCCCAGCGGATCCGCATTAATCTGCCCGTTACTCTCAAGCACCTACAAATAATTCTCTACATCAAGTGCTTTGCTTTTTCTCATTTGCTTAAGGGACTTAAGGGCCTTTCCCTTGCCGTTCTCTTGCTTTTCTCGATTTCGGTTTTATTTTCCTTTCGTTTCGTTAAATTTTAGCTTAATCTTAAGTGTGCCTCCCGCTTCTCTTTCAAACGCATATTTCATTTCATTTTATTTCCCTTACTCCTTTCTCCGCTCCGCCAATTTTCCGCAATCATTCGGAGTAATTTTCTCGAAATTTTCAAATGACAAGCGTTCAGCTCTTTTCATCTTTTACTTAATTCCTTCCTCACTTGCACAAATTGTATTTGACTATTTTGCACACACATTAAAAAAAAAAAAAACAAACACATCTATGTTTTCGTATGTTCATATTTTATAGATTAATATGTCATTTTGCTTGGCGGTCTTCTGTTTCATGGATTTTCATTTACTCGAACAATAAGCTGAAAAGTGTTGAGTTCTTAGAAACAAGTTGAGGGGTTAAGTGAAACCTTTTAATGCACGGGAAAAGGTAGCTTTTAATGAAAACTTATCTAATCTAATAATTTAGGGGGGAAAAAAACTAGCTCACAGTTTTGTTTATTAAATTTAAAAATTGTTATTTTAATGGTTTCAGGAATTGGGAACTAAACAACACAATTTTGAAGACCTTTGTGGATTTGAAAGCAAACGGAAAATGCGGTAAGTGGAAAGCTGAGTTCGAGTAATTGCTCCAGCTTGCAATTTTCCTTGTGACTCGCACTTTTCCTTCTATGATTTCCTTGTGACTCGTAGGCCGAATAAGCGAAAATCCAAAACAGACGCCTTATGTATACGTTTTGTAAACACTTTTCTTTTAGTATTTATCGTTCTTTAGATTTGGCCTTTGCTATGCACACACTCCCTCGTCCTTTGTCTTTTGTCCTTTCGTCTCCCGCCTTTGCTTTTCCCCCATTCGTGTTAGTCGCCTTCTTCTGACAGACTCCCAATGACTCCACACTGAGCGAAAAACATCTGGGCCTTGTGTAATTTTCTCAGTAAGTAAAAAATTATAAATTTTCTTTATCTGTGGTTGAATTCCCAAAGGGTTTTAACTCTTGTTTGTTTCTGAATAAATTAAATAGTGTCAATTTTAAATTAATTTAATCTTGGACATGTTTCAATCTCATTTAGTTAAAATCTAATCTTGACTGACACTTGGTTAATATTATTTTTTGCCATCTTGAGGACTTTCCCATTTATTTTCTCAGTGCCCACCTGCCACCTTGTGTTACCTGCAAGTGTATCATCTGTGTCTCTCTATCTCGTGTGCGTATGTTTGTTTTTGGTTTTATTTTCATTTTCATTTTCCTTTTTTTTTGTTGGTGAAAAATTGACATATTCGGTACTCTGGCAAGTGGAGTCGAGTCTAGTTGAGTCGAGTTTTCTTTGCGTTTCCGCCTGGCGTTGACTAACAGCTTGGATTTCCGGCATTTCTGCCGGAGACAACACAAGTTCAGTGGAAGCGGGACGTGGCATGGAGTTCAGTTCAGTTCAGTTTTCTCTTCCCAACAAAACTTTGGCCGGAATGTGTGGATGAGGATGTGGGTTTTGGGATGGGGACACGGGACACGGGACACGGGACACGGGACGTGGGAAATGGCCTGGAACGCGTTGCGCCATTTGGGTTTTGGTTTGGGTTCGAGCCATCTCTCTGATTCTCAACCAATTACGTGCAAAGTTCGGGAGGAGCTCTCTCTCTGTGTGTTGAACTTACTTGCTACTATTTTATTTTATTTTTCTCAGTGTGGCTGTTGTTATGGGTTAATAGTGCGGATTGCTACTGCTCCTGCTGCGTCTCGTACTTGGGGATGTGCGGGTGGTGTGTGTGGTGTGGGTGGTGTCTAGCCCAGGATCTTCTTGAAGTAGCTAACTGTTTCCGGCTTGGTTAGTGAGCGTCGTCGATTCGGCTTGAATGGCGCCTCAGTTTCCTCCAGGAAGTTGTGCCGCGTGGTGGCTGCCTCCTCCTGTTCCGGTGGCTCGCCTTCCTCGGAAGCAGTCTCTACCTTGGAGTCTCCCTCGTCCTCCTTCTTCTTGGCCTGCTTCTCGGGATTTGCAGTTGTTGATGTGACTGTTGCTGCTGCTGCGGCTGCTTCTGCTGCTACTCCTGGTGTGGCATTCGATTTGATTTCATTAGCTGCGGCTGTTGCTGGCGCCGGAGTTGTGGTAATTGTTGCATGTTCGCTGGCATGCTTTGACGGCGGCACATAGTGCGACTTCACCAACAACATTGGTGGTATGAAGCGTGTGTTGTCCGCGGATTCGTTGACGTGCGTTGCATGTTGTTGTTCTGTTGTTGTCGATGGTTGGGACTTTTCTGTTGTTGTCGATGGTTGGGACTTTTCTGTTGTTGTTGAGGGTAGGGATTTTTCTGTTGTTGTTGTTCGTTGGGATTTTTCTGTTGTTGGTTGGGCTTCTGTTGTTGGTGATTTTGTGAATTTTTCTGTTGTTGTTGATGGCTGGGATTTTTCTGTTGTTGTTGATGGTTGGGATTTTTCTGTGGTTGATGACTGTTGAGATTTTTCTGTTGTGGTTGATTGCTGAGATTTCTCTGTAGTTGTCGATTGTTCGGATTTTTCTGTTGTTGTTGTTGGTTGGGATTTTACTGTTGTTGTTGATTGCTTAGATTTTTCTGTTGTTGTTGATTGTTGTGGTTTTTCTGTTGACGTTGATTGTTGTGGCTTCAGTGTCGTTGTTGCGACCGCTGTTGCTTGCTTAGGCTTCTCTGTGCTTGTGGTCGTTGCTGTTGTTGTAGTTGATGGTTCGGGCTCAGGCTGTGACTCTCTCTTCGCTGCCTTGGCTGTTGTTGTAATTGGCTCTTTTGTTGGTGTTGTGACTGTCTCTGTTACCACGCCCCTTGTTGCCGCCGGCTGAGAGCTGGTGGTGTCTACAGTTTTTGGTGTGGTAATTACAGGAGTGTCATTAGGTGTTGTTGGTGCTTCAGTTGTTGAAACTTTTGTTGTTGTTGTTGCTGCTGTTGCTGTTGGTTTGGCCTCCAAAATCGGCGACATGGTGCGCAGATCCTGCGGCAAAATCTTCTTTTTGTGCGGCAAGTGTTCAAATATTTCATTAGAGGCATCACTGTTGCTATCCTCATCCTCGTTAAGAGGCAAACCCATTCCAAAAGCCATGCCCGGGGGCAGTTGCTCCTCGCTAAGTGCCGGCTGGTCGCCCATCATCATCTCCTCCTTGTGTTCTTTGACCACCTTCTCCTGCTCCTTGGCCTTCTGCTCCTGCTCATGTTGCTCCTGCTGCTGGTGAGCGGCTGTCTTTCTGGACTTTTGCTGCTGCTGCTGCTGCTGTTGCTGCTGATGTTGCTGGTGACTCTGCAGTTTCTTGGCGAAATCCGGAACAATCACCTTCTTGGCCGCCTTCTTCACCGGCTTGGGCACCTGATCCGGTATCCTATAGAGACCCGACATGGACACCATGCCGGGGGCATCCGATTGCATGAGTTCCCCCAGACCAGAAACAGAGGAGACGCGCTGAACTGGCGGCGCCACCTGAATGTTGATGGCCATGCGGGATCCGTAGTTGGGTAGCAAATCGATGTCATTGTTCTCATTGTTGTCCGTGCGAATGTTTTTGATGATCTGCAGCGACTTGAAGTGCGAGTTGGTGATGTCCGTAATGCGCTGGGCCTCCAGGCGCTCCTTGGGACAGATCAGCTGGCCAATGGCACGCTCACGGTCCTGCAAGGAAAATTAGTAAGACAGAACGATCGGAAATAATAATATTATCATTCAAGAACCTCTTAGTATAGTTTGGGGTATCTTTATGTACGTATAATTAATGAAAAGAGCTTGGGAAACTCACCTCCTTGCCCTTGCAGGTGTGCCTTAGCAATCCCTCCTCCTGACAGTTGCGAATGAGCTCAATGCTGGCCGTGTCCGCCATATATTGCATGGTCAGGTTGGGCATGTCCTTCAGGATGCATGCATCCGCCCAGCTGGGCACTATTTTGGGGGGTGAACAATTGCTGAGAGATGGAACATCTCCCTGGGCAGACTCTGGGACTTACCTGGCATCTCACATAGAAAGGAGGCAGTCTCGGGGCCACCGCATCGCAGGGCATGCCAGCGGTAATCACGGATTGGATCGATTACGGCACAGAGCGGAGCATCCATCAGGGGCAACGATTCTGCCCAGTAGCCAGTGTCCGCCACCAAGGGACGGGAGTTGCTAAGATCCCGCCAAGAATAGGGATATATAACTTCATTATAATAATTCATTTTATAAAAAAAAGAAACAATAACTTAATTAAAATAGTTGGTTTGATTTTGTTCTTTCTTTTCTTTTACCTAATATTTATATTCACTAATTTAATTATAGTTCAACGTGCTTTCCTAAATTTAATTGTCTTTCTTTCTTTTGTCATGATGTATTCCTCTCTTGTAGCTTTCATTTATTTATTTTCCTCGTTAAGTTGAACATTTTCGCAAAACCTAAACTCTGGACTCTGGTCACAGATCCATTCCTAAATGAAGGACTGCTATACACATGTCGGCCCCAACAGGACAATTGTCACACAATCCCTTTCGGCTCTATTTGTATCTCTATGTCTACACTCGAGAAAAAAAGAACTTCAAATAAGGGAATATAAAGTCTACTTCCTAAAACCTTTTCTGCAAACACTTTGACCTTATTTTCTTATAAAAATCAATCAAATATAATCAATAAATATGTTAGAAAATGTGTTAATAATGTTTGAGGTTAGAAAGTATTCAATTATACGCTTTTTTGTTTCTCTGTTCATAAACTTAATATAATTGATACATATTTCACTTTCATATTCAATTATCTCAGTGTATGATATTGGTGTTTGGTGTTTTTTGGTGATGATGTTGATATTACTTCTTTGTTTTTTTGTTTCTGTTTTTTATTTTGTTGCCATTGTTGTACTTACGACCACATAAAACGATCCGAGTTCTGCGGTCGCATGAGACCAATCCAAACGATGTCGTTCACATCCAATTCCCTTAGCAGGTCGCGCGTTGCATCGAATTGAAAACTGTTGTCGACTATAAGGACACACATTTTCCCCAAAAAAAGGATGAGAAGAGAGAGAGAGATGGAGAGAAAAAGAGAAAGAGATAGGGAGAATAGTTCAAATGAAAACGAGACGACAAATGCTTTTTATTTGTTCTACACAGAGTATTTCTATTAAATTCGCCTCCTCGTCCATTGTTGCTTTTATATTTGTCCCTTTTTTATTTAGGTTTTTGTTTCTATTGCTTTTCTGTTGTTGTTGTGTGTGTTTTTGGGACAGGATGTGTTTTTTTTTAGATGTGGAAGCCATCAGCTCGATGCCATTCTCCAGTGACAACACAAATTGTTAACAAAACGCTGTTGGAAAATTATTTTTGTTTCTCATTTTTGCTGGTCTCGTGTCAGTTTCTGTTTTCATTCCTGTTTGCGATTGTTATTTGGCCTTTGTTTGTGCTTAACCCCTCAGTTTTTTGACACTTTCCCCCTCTTTCTCCCTAGCCACCGCATTTTCCTTCCTTTTTTATACAACAACATACAGAGTCCAATTTGCATATGTGGAGAAAAAAATGTGGTCTAGGCTCAGTGACCTCTGACCTGTCCATGGAATGGTCTTTAAGGTGACAAGACAACATTTCTTAACTAATACAAATAGTTTATAATTCGAAGGATAGTTAAGATTATCGTTTTATCCTGCAGCTAAGCTCTTGAAAACTTTATGAAATCCAGAAAAGTATATTATTAGCTAGTAACCTTGGCTTAAATAGATTTTAAGCTAAGAATAGTTTACTTTATAGGCAAATCTCTCAGTAAAGAGAAGAGAACCAATTCTCTTCATATGAATAAATTTGAACTCGGTGACTTTTATCGCCGAATCGATGCGGATGGCCACCATGGACAACTTTTGCTGAAAGCAAATATATATAGGCATTGGCAACTTTTCTGGTTGTTTTGGGTCATTTGAGCGAGAGGGGCAACGGCTGATTGTGATTTAGATGCACCTAGGACTAGCTGCTGGCCATCTTTATCTGACCCCAATCTCAACCTGGTCTACTTCCAGGTCCAGATTCAGGTCCCCATTACCCCTCCCAGCACTGCAGCGACAGCATTTGTCAGGAGGATTTATTGTATTATGAGGTTGGCGGAGAATGGAAATGAAAATGAGGGGGAAAAGCACTGCGGTAAATGAGAATGAGTTTGGGTTGGGGTTGGGCTTTGGTATGAAATGCAGGCCAGAGGGGGAGCGAGGTTGATTCTCTGGCAAAAGCTCTTTCGGGGTCTCCCGGCCACATAAAAGACTCGACTCGACTGTGGCTGCGTCACTTTGCTGTCATTTCATTCATTTGCCGACCACAATGGCAGCTCCTGTTCGTCCTGTTTCAGTTTCAGTGCTCCTCCCCCAGCACATCCCCGGCAGAATCTAGATGCATTCGTTACTAGGTGACAGTCGTTCGGTTGCTGCGTCCTTTTGTGCCAACAGCTGCCGGACATTTGTAATAATGTGCAGGACTACGACTAGGACGACCCTGTGACCCCTCCTCCCCTGGGGCAACTTGCCCAACCGGATCGACTTCAGTTCAGTTCAGTTTTCCCCCCTTTTGGGGCGGCTGTGTCCCTTTTTCACTTCCTCCTGTGGCCTAGGCTTATTTGCATTTTACATTTTGCTGGCACAGCGACAGGCGAAATGGGGTGAAAACAAACGAGATCTTAACCGGAAAATTAAATGCACTTAAATTCATGTCGATTTGGGGTTATGAAAGGATTCTCCAACAGGAAACTAAACTGTACACTGTACATGCATTTATTTAGCAATAGTTCTAGTTGAGTATTCCGATAGACGATATCTTACCCGTCACCAGATTGGCGTGATGGAACTGGCACACGGCGTCCGCTTCGAACCAGGAGATGCGATCGCGGAAGAAGCGATAGAAGACGTTCAAGCCCTCCTGCGGCATTGTCCAGGTGTTGCTCACGTTCACCTGTAAGCAGAAAATGGTGGAAATGAGTTCATTTTTGCTTTATTTGTATGCGCAACACGGCGCACGGTGCGTATACGTTATGCATTAAGCATACGCCTCGTGGCCCGTAAAGCGTTTACATTTTTAATGCTTTGCTGCAGATGGAAGAAGGGGTGGAAGGGGAAAGGTGATGTGTGTGTGTGTGTGTGTGTGTGTGTGTGCTCTACGACATTAAAAATACATACAAGAAACACACGCGCACATTTGCTTAGGCATGAAGCCAAAAAGAAAAATAAAGGACGACGCGCAACGCGATGTAAAATCTGCTTTGAAGCCTGTCCCCATATATTTCATTAAAGCGGAGAAGCTGGGGTGAGGGAACAGCTGCCACAAAGCCATGTCCCATGTCCCAGTTCCAGTTCCATCCTCCAACCCAACTCCCTTCAGAGAGATTCCAAAAATGTTCTTTATAGCAAGCCGCGTGCTGAGACCGAGACTCCAACGCCAAGGGAACCGGCTTGGGCACTCAGCTCCCAGCTCCAGCTCCCAGCTCCAGTTTCCCCGCTCCAGTTGCTCCTCCAGATCCCCGGTCGAGTGGCAGGCCTTGCTTTTCTACATTAACTAATTAGGAGCAGGGAGCAGGGAGCAGGGCAGGCGGCACAATACATAAACACCCGCAGTCTGGGGCTCAAAAATATACACACTCCACACACACACTCTGGGTACTGTGGTGTACTGTGCTTCTTGTGTGTTGTGCAAGTTGCGTCTCTTGGCATAAAGACGAGGCGGCGAAAAGCCGATGACAAAGTGCTGCCAGTGGGATGAGGAAATTAAGGCGGCTTGGTGGCTTTTCCAGAAATGTTCGCCGTGTCAAACGGAAATTTAAATGGCGCATCTCCTGGGTTATTATGTACAAAAATGTCAGGTATTATGGCATACAAAAGCACAGTTGTGTGCGCGCAGCAAATAAATATTAAATATATAACTTGAAAAAAATACAAATCCTTGGAAGAAATATATACAAATTTAAATATCAAATTTCAGGTTTTGTAGCTGAAAATCGTAGCGGGATTCCGGGTATTTTGTTGCTTAAAAATTCACCTAATTGGGATGCCTAGTAACTTCTTTAATTAAGGGATGTTCCTGTTTTTCTTTCGCTTTCGTTTTTTTTTTTGTTAACTAATTAAATTAAATTTATTTTGCCAAGAACCCAAAAAACTTGCGCATGTCGAATTTCCTTGGCAAATGCATGCCAACTTTTTGATGCAAAAATTCTTGTGGCTCATAGCCGTTCGCCAAAAAATAAAAAATACAGAGAAATTAAGATATAAAGAGTGAGAGAGAGAGAGAGAGAGAGAGAGAGAAAGATAGGGGAGATAGAGAGAAAGAGAGAGGGAGGGAAAGTCTAAAGGAATGCTGGTCATCAATTTGGAAATTTCGGCTTTTCCCGCCATGCATGCGGGTGGGCCTCTCTCTCTCTTTCTCTCTCTCTCCCTCTCTCTTTCTCTCGCTTTCTTTGAAAGCATTTCATTAACTTAATTAACATTTAATTGAAAAATTCAGAAAGCAACTTCTTTGCCATTGCCAAGAGGGGGGCGGGGCAGGGGCGGATACACAGATGAAAGTACCTCCAGCAAAGCAACAACAACTTCAGGAAATTCCATCAACAAAGAAATGAGGCACATAAAAAAAAAACGCTTTGGAAATGCCTTTGTCGGAAAAGGCTAGAGTATATATACATATATAAATTATCCTACATTTAGGGAAATTTTTCAAATATATGTTTAAAAAATATAAGGAGAATATATACAATTCTTCCAACTAATGATATATTTATTACATTTTTGGTATATAAATATTATATCTATTATATCTATTGACCAATCTCTACAATATTTGATCTGCAAAGTGACAATATATTTTATAATAATACATCTTTAAGCTATATCGAATATTTTCCTATTTTAACACTTAATTTTCTTAGAGTGCACTCGATTTTATGTACTCACGGAACACTTAGTGCTGGATAAGTCAGTTATCAGTCGATTAACTTTGTTTTTATATCCACCATTCATCGTTTTATTTCGCTTTTAACGGCCTAACAAAGTGGTAATTCCATTTGCACATCAATCGCAGCTATTATGCAATCATGAATATATTTATACACATACACGGAGCTTTATGCTTTATGCTCGATTTTATTGGAGTTAATATCTTGATGGCTCCTCGTTTCGAGGTCACTAATTGGCAACAAATTATTCAACGCAATCGAAGTGGCAACTAACGCATTAGCACAATGCCAGTGTGTGTATCCAGTCTGAACCAGGGAGTTATTAATTATGCATTCGAAATTGTTGCAGCATCCGTAATTAGTCAATTATTAACAACACACAAAGGAAATAACGTATTCCGATGCGAGATAATGGATGAACAACAACAAAATGTGTCTCATTACGTACGAAACGAGGACGAGGAGCTCTAATACCCTTTCGAGTCATCAAAATTTAAGCAAAACTATAAACATCAAATGCTGAGTGCTGCAGCGGCTGCTGCAAAACTAATAAGAGCCAAGAGCAACAATGGCAGCAGCAGCAGCAATTGCAGTTGCAATAAGAGTTGCAATAAGCGAAACATAATCATCTTAAGTTATTGCAATGGCAGTGTCATTAGCATTGCTCCCTTTTGCCCTCATTTTACCCCAGAAGGAAAGGGAATCGAAGGGCTCAAGTAAGCTAAATAACACTCTTATTAAATCTCGACAATATGTGATCTTTTGAGGGGGAGTAAGGATTTATTTAAAGGGTTTATTTATGGTTAATATGCATCACTAGTTCCCTTTTTTTTACTCATATATTGATTGTTTTTAGCTGCCTTATATAACTATAGTTCAAGTTGAGCAACGGTTAAAGTCAAAGTAACTCCCACGCTACGCTACGAAGGAGAATCTGATCATTTATTACCAAAAATTATTGCCAAAGTCCTGACACCTAGCACAGCTTTAGTGTGTCAATATAAAAAGTAAAGCCTTGAGGGGGAAATAAATAAATAAGTGAGGAAAAACCTCAGCTCTGGGAGCAGCAGAGAACATATTAGATGTTGCAGCAGCAACTATTTGTGTGGCAGCAGCCATATTGCAGCAGCAGCTGTTCGGTGGCAGCCATTTGTTGACTTTTCCCATTTTATTTCGCTGCCCCTGTTTCTTTTACTCTTCTTGTTAGTCTTGTTTCGAACTACTTTCCTATTTCCTATTTTCTTATTTCATATTTTTGTCATACCCTTTCAGGGTATTATAATTTTGAAGAGGAGTTTACAGAGCAATAAAAGAGTCATCAACAGACAAGTCGATCTAGCCAAGTAAACTAGTCTCTGAATTATAAACTTGGCAGATAGTTTAATTTTTATTCTTATCTAGATCATATATCTGTTTTAAAATATAGAGGAAAATGTGAAACAGTAAATGTAAATTTAGTTTTTATAGTTTCTGTTTTGAGTGAAGGAAAGTCAATAGGTTCAATTGCAAACTGCAAAGGGTATACATTCGTCGGTGTGCCGCAGCTTAGCTTCCTTTCTTGTTTGCTGCCTTATTTTGGCATTTCTTCTGCTCTTTTTTTGGCACTCGGCAAGCAAGTTGCTGTGCCAACTTCAGCCTCTTCGCTGATGTTGTTTGTCTACTGCTTTTTCCTGCTCCTTTTTTTTGTTTGTAATTGAGATGAAGACATCCCGCAGGAGCTGGGGGGAGGGACAGGGGGAAGGAGTGGGCAAAAATTAAACAAAAAAGAATAAGTGAAATCACAAAGCGCTGCCCAAGACTTTTTTCTTTGTTTGTTTGTTTGTGCTTGCATAATTTTTCTATTTGCATTTTTTATTAACGAAAACTGAGTGTGTTTTGCAGTTTTGGTTTTTGAAAAATTCGCCAGTTTTGCACCTTTTAATCATTGAAAAGTGCTTACAAAAGTACTTACAAAACACAAACTTCAGAGAGTTAGGAGAATGTGTTCTTTTGTAGACTTTTAAGACAGAAGAATCGGTTAATGTATTAAAGAAATTAATTATCTTTTATGCGAAAGTGCTTTTAAGTATTCTAGAATTTTGCAAGCTTTTAAAAACTATTTAAAACCAAGACATAGAAAGTTAAATCACACCAAACTATACAGAATTCGTTATTTGAAATACTTTAGACATATTTTTAGGTGATTTCCTTGTTATTTCCAAAGCACTTTCTAATATTTAAGAGGTCCTTGATACATTACAGTTTAAGGTAATAAAAGAGGAGAACAGGCTCTAGCTATCAGTTAAAACTGTGTGTTATTTGCATTCTTTTCAGCTGCCTCACCGAAAAGAGAGAAAACAAATTGTGAATGCATAATGCGAGCTGATGCCAGCGCCCTTTTTGATAGTCAGCTTCAGTTGAAAGGGAAATATTTTCATTTTCCCCTCCTTTATTGGCTTTTTACCCAGGTACTCGAGCGATTATAATAAAAGGAGACTTTCGAGGGGAAGGTCCCTTGAGTCCTTTGGGCCTCCGCCGTGCCCGGGGTGTCAACACAATCAGGTGGCAGCCACACGCAATCTTCGCTCGTCGCACGATTCATGCGTGAATCATAAGTATCTTGTTCTCTTTTATGAATACAGACATATATGTATGTACATGGCTGTACACCTACACCCATATCCATTTGCATAGCACCCCGCTCACTCGTATGCAGATGTATGCTAATGTCGGAGGTGCCTACCTCCGACGCCGTTTAAAAAGCCAACATCCCACGGCTTGCCTCTAATGTGGCATTAGCAATCCTTTTGAGTTCTTTGGCATCACATGTGTATGCGTATTTTGAGTTCACTTTTATTTATTATTCCCCACCTGTCTGGCTGTCTGTCTACCTGGCGGCATATGGCCCGACATTGGTGCAAAGTCAAGCGGCTTATTTATGAATTAGCAATGTGATTTTTGAATTCCATTTCTCCCACGCTTTTTGGGGGGCCACCTGAGTGGAGGGAGCTGTGAGATTCCTCCTGGAAGC